TGTATTGTAAAATAAAATCTATATACAATTTTATATAATGTTTATATACTTTTTTTTTAAATGAATTTTTTTAGAGGTATTTATGCCATTAATATATATATATATATATATATATATATATATATATATATATATATACACACACATACTGTATATATATATATATATATATATATATATATATATATATATATATGTGATATGCAAGGTTGCATTTAGTTTGAAATTTGATTATTTTATAAATGCAGTGAACCCCGATAAATGCAATTTCTAATATTTCTAAAGTACTTCTTTATAATGAACATCACTTTCTCAATACTTTACCCGCTCTATAACGCAGTGAAAGAGCTCCTGTAGTGAACAATCGATTCTCGAGCCATCGATATCAACCTATTCAGCACCACCGCCATGGACAGCACCTGCTAACGTCGCACGTAAGAAGGTTTACCTTAAGCAGCATCCTAAGGTTTCGTTCGGGGAACAGACCTAGGAAAGGTATACCCTTAGTTAAGGTGTATCTTTAGAGTCTTCGTAGAGCGCTAAGAGACACCGTTATCGGTAAACGCAGCCCAGGACTTCTGAGGGCCGGCCCCCTCTGGGGAAGAGCGATGTACACCTCATTATAAAGTGGCCGTCTCTCCTCAGTGCTCTCAGGAGATCGATCTGCCATGCTGGCCATGTTTCTAGCATTGAAACACTTTCTCCCAGACCTAAGAGGACGCCATGTGTTGCTGCACCGACGACACAGTGGCGGTTTCTTAAATCAACCACCAGGGAGATCTGCGTTTGTGCTCCCTTTATAGGCAGGCGCACCAGATCTTTATAAAGTGGCCGTCTCTCCTCAGTGCTCTCAGGAGATCGATCTGCCATGCTGGCCATGTTTCTAGCATTGAAACACTTTCTCCCAGACCTAAGAGGACGCCATGTGTTGCTGCACCGACGACACAGTGGCGGTTTCTTAAATCAACCATCAGGGAGATCTGCGTTTGTGCTCCCTTTATAGGCAGGCGCACCAGATCCTTGTGTGGTCCCAGGGCAAACTCCTCTCGCTGGGCTGTAACATGCTCCGCCATGGCTTCCTGCTCTGCTGTCATCACCCGGCTGCCCTGCTCTGCCTGCACCGCCATGGCTCCCTGATCTGCCTGCACCACCATGGCTCCCTGATCTGATGAACTCACTGTCTGCCCTGTCATGACTAAGGAGGCCATTCATGAACTCACTGTCTGTCCTGTCACAGCCATGTAGGCCATCCATGAATTCACTGCCTGTCATGTTACGGCCATGGAAGCCGTTCATGAACTCCCAGTCTGTCCTGTCACAGCCATGGATGCCGTCCATGAATTCACTGCCTGTCCTGTTTCCCATTGGTTTGTTCTTGTCTTGTGACCCTCTTGTTTGCTATAAGTAGCCATCATGTTGCCATTGGCTCTCGTCATGTATTGATGTTGTAACCCGCTGTCGGTGAGTCAAGTCTGTTCATGTCAAGTCACGGATTATTGTTTGGATCACACTGTAAATAAACTGCACCTGGGTTCTTCACTACGCTCGCCTTCAGTGGACTGATTAGTTACAGGTACTTGGTTTGTTTGTTTCAGATTTTTTTAAATCGGTTTATCAGTTTGTTTTTCTGCTTGTTACTCCGGATTTTTCAGGAAAAAAAATCTGAAAAATCCCCAGGGCTGAGGACTAAGAACTTTTAAAAGTTCCCCTTGAGAAGAAAATATTTTGAAATATTGCCCATTCTGATTGTCTTGTTAGACAAAGACACTTGATAAAGAGGTATAAAAACTGCTTTCTCATTCTCTAGCATATGTAAATATGGCACCTTTTAACCCATTACATCAGTCTGTCTGCTGTTATATTTGATTCAATAACTTTGGGGAAGATTTTCAGTGAATAACAACTTTTTTCCCCCACCAAATTTGTTTGTTTGTCACACAAATCTATGACTTCAGGAAACTTAGAATATAGCCCACAAGTTTTATATTGTGGTTTTGTCCCTTTTGGAGTTTAAGCATCACTGCTTTTACACTGACATGTTGTTCTTTTGTTAAAGATTTTTCAGCTAGAAAACAATCAAAATGAGAGATATATATATATTAGGGCTGGACAAGTTATCACGTTAACACATTAAGTGATTAACGTCGACAATTATTTTATCGCCCATTAATGCAGTTTTTTATTATGAAAGTCCATTGCTCACTGGCTCTGAATTCACCTACAGACAAACCATGGATCACAGGAGGGGTGGGATGGGTGTCATCACGCATCTCAACCAATGAGAGCATTTGGGGTGGGCCTAAAACTGCAGCAGCGCAGCGCTCACATGAACGCTCCCGATAAAATTATTTTGGCTGAGCATTAACATTCACAAACCACCGTCAACTGATTCCTCGTAATAAAGAATGCAAAAGCAGTGCTGCACGGGGTATTGGGTTTCTAGTCTTGGTGCTCTTTGGGTGTAAGGGATGATTCAACTCGTAAGAATAATAGTAGTCCAAGGCACTCGAATCTTATTCAAAAAGTTTTAAAAAGCCTTTATTTCATCATGGCTTTAAGTTTTAAGAACAGGTGACAAGTACACCTACACGTTGCGGCTTTTTTGACTTTGTCAGGGTGTGAGTAAACACAATCGGAGTTCATTTTGAGCAGCAATTAATTAGTCAAATAACAATCACCTCGTCGTTCTACACAGGACAAACAGTAGAGAGGAAATTCGACTATTACATATCAAACACAATATAATGTATAAAGGAGAGGAACTTTTTTTTTTTACTTAAATCTATAAATCAGACTCCACAAATCAATGTATGTACATGGTATATATTTCTTAAAAAAACACACACACACACACAAGATCAACAATATAATACTTCCAGATCTGAATTCTTATTACAAAAAAGGTACATGGTCTAATTCCCCATTTAAGCTTGGAAGTTTAATTGCTTTCAGTATATAGATTCAAAACGAGACTCTCTGTAAAAGCCTATTGACCCTATCACCTCCTCTTATTGACCTGGGGACATGTTCTATTCCGATTATCTTCAATGTACTTGGGCTACCATGATTTTTCTCTTTATAATGAAGAGCCATAGGATACAAAGGGTTACAAACTCGAATGGCGTTCTTATGTTTTGCTAATCTGATCTTTAATATCCTTGTAGTCATACCTATATAGAAACAACCACATGGACACTCTAACCGATACACTACAAATGAGGTATTGCAATTAATAAATGATTTAACTTTTTTTTTAATTCAATGTGTGAAGTTACGTCTTTAAACATATTTGTCTTGACCATATTGTCACAGTGATTGCAATTGCCACATCTGTAATTTCCTGCACTTGGACATAACCAGGTACTAAATTTCTTAGAGGAATGATGACTTCTCACTAATTTCTTTAATCGTAGGTGCTTTCCGGAATACAATGGAGGGAGATTCAGGCATGACTTCCCTGAGATGGGGATCACTCATCACAATTTCCCAATTATTTTCTTAATTCTATTCGCTACTGTACTGTGTAACGAAATAAACCGAATTATCAGAATATTTTTATTTACGTTTTTGTACTAATAACTCCTCTCTACTGATGCTTCTTGCTTTATTAAATGCATTGTTGATCACCCTGTTTTTGTACCCTCATTCCTGAAATCTGAGTAATTTCTTGAGCCCTAAAATCAAAATCATCTTCCTTGTCACAGATTCTTTTTAACCTCTGAAACTGTCCGAAGGGAATATTGTCGATCAACTCAACCATGAAGGGTGAAAACTATCTGCTCTTAAAATAGTATTTCTATCTGTTTCCTTCCTAAAAATAGTAGTATGTAATACACCATTGCCTTCTTTAAAAGTCCAAGAAATGTAACAGTATGTAGAAAAATCAAGACTCAACTTCAAATTCACATTGGTATTAAAGTATGACTGAAAGACTAACAGATCTGCTTCTGAACCTATCCATATCAAAATTATATAATCTATATATCTACCCCACTACATCACATTCTTTAAATATGGATTTGAATCAGAAAATAAAAATGTATTTTCCCAAAATCCTAAAAACATATGCATAATTTGGGGCAAAACAGGCACCCATTGCTGTACCTTTAATTTGTTTATAGAATTCATCGTGAAACAGAAAGAAGTTGTTAATGTCCATTCTGCTAATTGCATAATAAAACATGCCGTTGGCCTTTCAGTAGATGATCTCATATCTAAATAGTATGATAATGCTTCCAGCCCATATTTATGGTCTATATTCGTATACAATGATTCAACATCCATAGTCACCAGTATAGATGATTCTGTAGTTTTAATTTCTTTAACGATATTCAATACATAAGTTGTATCTTGAATGAACGAGGGGAGTTCACTAACCAATGGTTCAATAAAATAATCCACACATTTTGAAGCCGGCTCTGTAATAGACCCATTACCACTAATTATAGGGCTCCCTGGTGGATTTTCCAGATTTTTGTGTACTTTTGGAAGCATATAAAAAGTAGGAATCCTAGGATCTTTACAAAATAGAAAATCACGTTCATTTTTTGAAATCCATCCCTCATTTTCAGCATGTAATAAAATGTTAGTCAATTCATTTAATACTTTCTATTGGATTAAATTGCAGGCGCTGATAGTACTCACAATTTTGTAGTTGTCTAAAGGCTTCTTTGATGTACTGATCTCTGACCCATACAACAACTGCACCTCCCTTATCCTCTCTTTTTATTACAAGGGGGGAATTAGACCTTGTACCTTTTTTGTAATAAGAATTCAGATCTGGAAGTGTTATATTGTTGATCTTGTGTGTTTTTTTTTTAAGAAATGTATACTATTGTAGCGAATCAGCTCATGGGGAAATATGAATAATTAATCATAACTAGTTATAATTAATTATAAATATTTAGATCCGCTGTAGATATTTACTTGACCTCTCAGGGTCAACTGTCTGTCAATTCTAAGAACGTTAATTTCCTGGTTAAGGGAAATAACTTTCTTACTGTACAACTCTACACAGAGCTTGTAGCATAAATCTGCGAGATTAGGGACTCCAGTTGTGAGCAAACAATGAACAACGTCAAGTGTGATACAAGTAAGACTTTATTAACTACATAAACACTTAAACTAGTCTAACATACTACATACACATACACACATGCACACACACACACAGTTGGTATAGGAAAGCGTTAAAGCTTAATGCAGTAAAGAGGAGAGAAAATAAGAATAAAGTTATTATTGTACCATTTGATATTCAGCAGATTTACAGCCTGAAGGAAACATCAGATTCTTAGTTCAAACACACCTTTGTAAAAAGGTGCAAATGATACCTAAGGTATCAATTAATAAGACTAAGTCTGATACTTGCACGTCTCGCTCGTTTAGATCATCAGAAGGCGAATTCATAGATACTAAACATGGTAGGATAACATATAGGCAAGATGACAGGACTGAGTGTTTCCATCATAAGCCTGCATAAAACAGTATAAAATCTCAAAGACAACATACACAATGATCTGAAGGATATGTGTGTTCATTCAAAGAAAGGTTTTCCTATGGATTAATTAGAAAAGAGTCCATTTCTACTGGGCACTCTGTCTCTTTCTAATTCAAAGGCAGTGATTTTCCCTACTTACATTCCATTAGGTCGTAAATGGCTCTGGTTTAGCAAAGGTATCGTGGTTGCCATGGTAACCAGTGGCCTGTGGTCATTCGCAGACATCCTGGCGCCCAGTCTATTGGGTGAGGGGTCTGTGACAACTTGTTAATCTAATGAATAGCTGATTTGTTAAATCAAATGAAAAAATGAGTTTTTGATTGGTCCAGACGCTACACTATGTACATACATACATTGATTTTTGTGGAGTCTGATTTATATATTTAAGTTTTTTTTTCCTCTCCTTTATACATGATTATATTGTGTTTGATTTAATTTGATATGTAATCGTCGAACTTCCTCTCTACTGTTTGTCCTGTGTAGAACGACCAGGTGATTGTTATTTGACTAATTAATTGCTGCTCAAAATTAACTCAGATTGTGTTTGTTACTCACACCCTGACGAAGGCAAAATAGAACTTATAGCCATGATGAAATAAACTTAAAACTTTTTGAATAAGATTCGAGTGCCTTGGACTACTATTATTCTTACACTGTCAACTGATATTTTTAACAGAAAAGAATGCAACGTGCTCGTAATCACGACTTCATATGTGGGAAATAGGAAGTTTCCAATAGTACGTAAAGACAGCAGAGAAGCGCTCTCACTCAGCACAGTGGAGTGCATCGTTTTGTTAACTTTGTGGTTTATAATTTTGAGTCGTTTGGGACGCGGTGACACACGGCCCTCTCACAGTATACATACGCAATCATGCAGCAAATATCATAAGTTCCTGGCCCACCGAGCCAGCTAAACGAACCGTGCCAGAGCGCGGCACGGAGCGATCACGCTAGTCAAACGAACCGGGCTTTGGGAGTGAAGCGCTCGGGCTCAAAATGCCTAATGTTAGTACACATTTTATTCTCCCGCATCCCGCACACACGAGTCTCTACCCACCCGCACCCGCACTCGCACTCGCCCATCTAGTGGTGTCCCGTGCCACTCTGTTGCGTTGGGTCCCGCGATAGTGCAGGTCTCTACTCGGAAAGGAGCCTGTTATAATGTTAAGATCGAGACTTTGGGCTCTGAGCATAACTTGTTTTTCTATAACAAACTATAAAATATTTTCTATAAAAATGTTAATGCCCAGGTAATGGCAAACAGCTTGTTTTATATTTAATTTGATTACATTACTGTTATAAGCTGAGATTTACAAGAAATATTTTAACTGCTACTATGTAAAAGGAATACTGCTGTAAAAAAAGCACCTCATTTGTTTAAAGTGTTTGCAAACCAATTGTTATTGCACTTTTGTTCATATAGCAGTACTTGAAATGAAAAATGAAAAAAGTGCACAATACACTACTTTTGAATACATTATTGAATTTTGTGCATAATGTGATTAATCACAGACAATCATATATATATACACACAGTGGTGTGAAAAAGTTTTTGCCCCCATCCTGTTTTTATTTTTATTTTTTTTGCACATTTGTCACACTTGATTGATTCAGATCATCAAACTAATTTTAATAATACACAAAGATAACCCGAGTAAATACAAAATGTAGTTTTGAAATAATGATTTCATTTATTAAGGGAAAAAAGCTGTCCAAACCT